AACAAAGAAATTTTAAAATAATTCATTGTTGTATTTTGTCAAGCTTTTATAAAAATATATTTTTGTCAACAATAAATAAATAAATTGTAAATTGTATGAATAAATATATTTATATATTATTACAACTCTGTGTATTCTGTTTTTATTTTACGTTATTAAATCTTATTAAATAAAAGTATTACTTAAACTGGTAACTTTGGTTATACATACAATATTTTGGTATTCTTTTTAAAGCAACAAATAAAAATACACAACTTAACGTTCATGTAAAATCACACATTGTATTATTGGAAAAGTCTCATAAGTATTATTTTTGTTTAAACAAAAATACTTGATTCAATTAACCAAACAATTTATCAACAATTGTTATCAAATTTATAAATAAAATAATATTTAATTAGTTAGTATATAATTTAATGATGTATTTTTCAAAAGTGAATTTGAAATGCAATTTGTTTAAATAACCATTTGTATTCAAAAATTTATTTTTAACATGTTTTATGTAAAAATATACCAAATTTAAAGTTCTTTATTGTGTTTATATAATGTCATTTGAATTACTTCGGCTCTATTATAATCACTACAACCCGAATTATTATAATTGAATTATCATTTTATTAACTTTTATTAACTTTATTTCATTAAAATATTAAAAAATAATCGTTTATTTTTCATTTATGTATTTATATTACTTCATTGGTTTTGTATTTTTAATTATAAATACAACATAAAAACTAATATATAACAAGAATGAGCATCAAAAGCACAAGGGGAAAAGAATTGCCTATTTATGATGGTTATTTGTTTCATGCCATAGACAAAGAAAGAACACACTTTCGCTGCTCTTGTCGAAAGTGTAAAGTGACTATAATAAAAAACACAGATGGAAGTTATCATTATGGCAAAACAACAACTCACATTCACGAAAAACAAGATTTACGCAGAAAAAATCATTTAAATTTTATCAAAAATGACTTACAAACTTCACCAACAAAAAAATAACAATGAAATCAGTTATAACAAAATACAAAAGAGGTTCTATAGGAATAACACAATCGACATTAGAACGCTTTGTTCAAAGAAACAAAGTTTACAAAAATGAACCAAATTCATATTATGATGTTATTATAAGTGTTGGCGACTTCAATTTATTATTCAAAGATGAGCTAAATGGAATACTTATATTTGGAAATAGCGAACAATTGACAATGTTAGCAAGATGCAAAGAAGTGTTTATGGATGGGACTTTCCGGAGTTGCCCCAAACAATTTTATCAGCTATATACACTGCATTGTCAATTACAAAAACAACCAAACATTTCCAGCAATTCACTATTTGTTGAAAAACAAAACTTTAAATACATATGAAACACTTTTTAATGCCATTGAATGCTTGCTAAAAGAAATCAACGAAAATTATACTTGTTTTGGAAGAAACGTTGTTGTTGTGACTGACTTCGAAAATTCGCTTATCGCTGTTTTAAGAAAATACAAAACTTTTGGTCTAGAGCACAAAGGATGCCTTTTTCATCAACGTCAAGCCATACGAAAGTTTATCAATAATGCTGGACTTAAATGTGAGTATTCTTTAAATACGGAATTCAAAGATGCAGTGAAAATATTAGAGTCCGTGTGCTTTTTGAAAGAAGAAGATATTATTCAAACAGTTGGTATTTTAACGGCGTGGTATTCTCATGTACCTTCATTTGGGATAGTTGTGGAATACTTCAATAAAGTGTGGATAAATGGCGCGTTTCCCATTTCATTGTGGTGTCAATTTATGAGAAAAAAAGAGGACTAATAATGATTGTAAGTCTTACCACGCCGCGCTCACCAGGAGGCTTGAGTTCGTGAAACCTGGTTTCTGGAAGTTCGTTGAAAAAATCGGAGAAGTGATAGAAGACGTTAATAAAGATCTAAAAAACATGAAAAAAGGACATTATAAAAAATCAAACAGTAAAGTTGAAATAATACATAATACACTTAAAAATTTAACAACATATTATTACTGTGGTGAAATCAATTTAAATTGTTTTCTCGAAAAGGTAAGTGTGTTATTTGATGGTTTAAATCATGAAGTTTACTTCGAAGTTGAAAATTGTGAACAAAACGAGACGGAAAATGTTACAAAAGAAAATTGTGTAGATTGTATCAATGAAAATGTTGTTGGTATAAACACTTCAACAAATGGTAATATGTGTGAACATAAAGACTTTATCCAACAAACAAGACTTGAAAATAAAAATCCAACTAAAATTGTTGATATTCAAAATACAAAGAAAAAAATTATACTTGAAAAAAAGCCAAGAAAAAAAAGAAGGTCTGTAATCCAAGAAATCAAAAAAGAGTGTAGAAAAAACAAAAACAAAAAAAATAATTAAGTAATTTATTTTTTTAATATTTTAATGAAATAAAGTTAATAAAAGTTAATAAAATGATAATTCAATTCTAATAATTTATATTGTAGTGATTATAATAGAGCCGAAGTAATTCAAATGACATTATATAAACACAATAAAGAACTTTAAATTTGGTATATTTTTACATAAAACATGTTAAAAATAAATTTTTGAATACAAATGGTTATTTAAACAAATTGCATTTCAAATTCACTTTTGAAAAATACATCATTAAATTATATACTAACTAATTAAATATTATTTTATTTATAAATTTGATAACAATTGTTGATAAATTGTTTGGTTAATTGAATCAAGTATTTTTGTTTAAACAAAAATAATACTTATGAGACTTTTCCAATAATACAATGTGTGATTTTACATGAACGTTAAGTTGTGTATTTTTATTTGTTGCTTTAAAAAGAATACCAAAATATTGTATGTATAACCAAAGTTACCAGTTTAAGTAATACTTTTATTTAATAAGATTTAATAACGTAAAATAAAAACAGAATACACAGAGTTGTAATAATATATAAATATATTTATTCATACAATTTACAATTTATTTATTTATT